TGTCCAAGGTGTCACAGAAAGTCTGTGGTAGAGACTGCAATGACTTGAATCCAGCTCTCCCATGTTCCAGCCTATCATTCTAGGCATCCGGCCTTGCATCTAATTACATCTCTGCTCTTTTTTCTTCTTATTTCTGCAGTATACTTTTCCTATGCCTTTTGCCTCATTATTCCTATCATCTTCCTTTCTTTCCGTTTCATAATTTCTATCATTTTCTATCTTCACCATGTCCCTGTCCTCCATTTTTCTTAGATGGTATGTTCTTTAGGCAGGAACATGTTTAGTCTATTACACAGTGGCTACATCTCTATGCATGTGCTTAACTGCAGAGTAGACTAATTAGCTGTGGAGTAAAGTGTCACCATCTACACATGTGAAGGTATTAGGAAGCAGTAAACTAATTAACACTGCTGTTATATCAGGGGTGGGCAAAATGTGGCCTGTGGGCCGGATGCAGCCCACCAGGTCATGCTATCTGGTTCACAGGGCCCCTAAAAAATTTTAAAAATTTTGGTTGGCTGCCTGTCATGTGGCCTTCAATGGCTTGCCAAAACTCCATAAGCGGCCCTCCGCCCGAAATAATTGCCCATCCCTGAGTTAGATAGTATTCTCCAGGACAGTACTATTTTATGCTGGGGTAATTTACTGTGATTAAACACATGTGTAGATGCTGATTGTGGACATAAATTGTGCCTGGTCAGCAGAACCAGTCAGGGGCCAGACTCCTGCTTGGTGCTTAGCCACATGGCTCCACACTTTCAGCACCCTCATACCCTAGCCAGCCCCTCTGCTGCCCAGTGCTGTCACCCGGAGTCCAGGGCTGAGTGACCCTGGCAAAAACTGCCTTGCCTCAGCTCAGATCGTTGCTGTCCTGGGTATGTGTGTAGATGCTGTGCCCAGGAGTAGTTTACTCTGGCTCAAACTGCTCTGGAGTTAATTGTTTTGAATTAATTGCAGGTGTAGATGCAGCCAGTGTGTAACTGCACACTGGGTGTGCCTACATGAGACACTACATTTCTGTAGTGATGTGCCATGGTGACATAGTGTCAGTAGGCACAAATCATCATGCCACTGCTGTTGCAATGAGCTCCCTGGCTATAGCACTTTGCTAGAGCGACATAGCTGCTAAAAGTAACTGTGGGCTGCTGGGACAGTAACAACTGTGCTGTGGAGGCACATGTAGACGCACCCATTGTTATCTATTTGTATTAGTGGTAATGAACAGTAAGAATAAACTAAAGTGTTTGATTATCAAGCCATAGGAACAGGGCTGTGCACCTACGATCAATGCTGCATACCTAATCTGCATTCATAGTTACTACAGTTACATACAGAAATATCCATTTTTCAGCTTGATATAGACACCTAATCACATTTATGATGATCATGTATGTTGATCATGAAAACTGTCTAAATAGTTTTTATAAATATTGGTCTTCCATCCTAGCCCCTATATTTGCTGCTGCTATCATTATTCTTCTTATTAACAATATACATTACATTGCAGAAACAATTATAGGCACAAAATTTGCACCTGAAGAACTAGAGCTTGCTTTTTAAAAAGAAGCTCATTATATTTGTTGTATTTGTTTTTCTGTACTGAGCATATTTTGTTTAAAAATTCACTTGTTTTATGCAACAGAATGCATGAAAAACATGACATTAAGATCAAGGAGACAGAGATCTAATCACAATGTCAATGACTTATTTACCAATGTTTTCTCAGCCATGTTGTTTTTTTAATTTCTACAGGATATCCTTTTCCTTCAAAGTCTCCAGAAATTACAAGACATGCCGCTTTTATGGGGCCATTTGTTAGGAGACTGACAAGGTAAATTAGTCAAATAAATGCTGCTAAATTCATACGGTACCTGCTATTTAAGTTGCTTAGTTTGCATGCAAATGTTCTATTTTAACACACAATCACTCTCTGAAATGATTTGTGATATATATCTGTCTCTATTTAAATAATACGGGCAATCTGTTTCAAAGTATTTTGGATGTTTTGCACAGTAGAAGAGATTATTCAGTTTTAGAATGAAAACTCCACTAGAATTATTTTTTACTTTTAATTTTCTGCACCACAAAATGGCATGGGAAAATTAAAAAAACAAAAGAGGGGGAAGGGGGTCGGGTGGGGAAATAGAGAGAGAGAGAGAGAGAGAGAGAAATCACAAGTCCTTTATTTGAAAATATTGATTCTGGTGATAATTATCAAAGATTTAGCTCCTCTGACATTAGATGAATCATTAAACATGTCCCCTAACTCATAAATCCAGCCACTAATGAAAATCTGCAAGAGTGAACTCTGACAGAAACTTTGGTGTGTGTATGTTTTTAAATGTGGTTGCAGCAGCATTAGAACTCTCCAAATCCCTTGGGTTCTAAAGATGATTAATGATAACAAAGCTTCCTCCATTGTGTTAGCAGATAGGAAGGAAGGAAGAGTACTCTAAAAAGAGAGTGCATAGAATCTGTGAGTACTGAAGTTCAAGAGTAAAGTTTAACCCTTGAAAACAACTGCTAAATTTTTTTATGCAGATGAAAGCAGGATGAAATCAATTTTCATCATCTTCAGAAAATTAGCCATTAACAGCTTTATACACAAAGTACATTAATGGCTGGGAGGAAGTCATTGTACTGAGATTTAGAAACATTTTCAAGTGATTTGGACTGGTTATACTCTTGTAATTTAGCAAACAGCTAGGCACACCCACAATCCATTTAGGCTGAGCTTTTGAAATATTTTAGAGATTTCTGCTAATGGGTTTTCCCTGTGGGCAGCATTACCAACTTGATTATACAGGTTTTAAGAAACTCTCCTAGGAAGATTCTTTTTCATCATAAGTTTCAACATTGACCTGCTACACTAATGCAGCATTTTATTTTCCAAGAAAGAAAAAGAAAATTGAATATTTCATAATAAGTGAGGGATTATGGTTACATTTTTCCATATAGGAAACTTATCATGTCTAAGGGGCTGTTCAAGCCCCTGAGCTTGACATTCCTGGCATTCAGAAAGGTGGCTTGAGTGACATATTCCCTCCCCACTGGGCATGGATGACTGGTGTCTCCTGAGTCAGGGGGGGCACTGGCCCCCCCAAAAAGCCAGTCAGTGACCCCGGGGGGGGGGAGGGGGGAGGCGGGAGTCTCCTGCGGCTGATCACACCAACCCAGGAGTGGCGCCGCTGACACTTCCGGGCATACCATTGGCACTTCCAGGTGGGTGTGATTGGCCATGGGGGACCACAGGCATCACTTCCCCTCATGCCCCCACTCCCTGGCCAGTGCTCTCAGGTAGGGGCACCAGCACTCTCACCTGCCCCCCCCCACCACCTGGGAATGCTGTCAGAGGGTGCACCCCTATGCACCTCCTATATATCACCACTTTCACTGGCTGCATCTACCCAAGATGCTTTACTGTACAGTAGCATAGTTTACTGTGCAGTAAGCATGTGCCATACACCCAGGTTTTCCTGGACAGGTCCTCTTTTTGAGTCCTCTGATCTCCGTCTAGGTGGGTTTTTCAAATCTGACCAAATGTCCAGGTTTTTGCTTTGCTCTGCTGGTGGGAGCAGAGGGAGGGGTAATTGTAGGCAGGGAGCAGCACGTGTGTCTGGGTACACCCCGGGAGCTGCAGGCAGGTAGGTCTGGGTTGGGGTGCTGGGGTTGTGGCAGGGCAGGGGGCAGAGTTGCCTCCCCCTCCAGTGGGGCAAAGGGATGGGTGCCTTTTGAGGGCTCTCTAGGCATAGTGTGGTAGCCCCATTGCAGGGCAGGGGGTGCCACAAGCCTCCCCTCCCTTTCCCTCCAGCCAGCATTGGGGCCGGATTCACTCCGAGCCACTGCGCTTTGGCCATCAGGATGAGGGCAGCTGGGGCCCCTCTGGCAGGGCTGGCGGGGAGCAGGGAGCTGAGGGTCAGGAGTGAGGGGTACCAGCATGTTTCCTGCCTAGCTGCATGATCACAGAGCTGAGCAGGGAACAGGCTCTCCAGCCCCCGCTCCATGATCATGGAGTGGGCACTGAGACCTGTCCTGGTTGGGGCAGGCCCCAGCCCTGTGCCTTGATCAGGTGAACAAGGCACAGGGCTTGGAAAGACCTGCAGGGGTAGGGCAGGTCCCAGCCCCCTGTCCCAACCACTGGTGGGATAGCTAGCAGTGAGTGGATCAGGAACCTGCTGCTGACTTGCAGCTCTTTCCAAGACCCCTGCCCCCTAGTGGGGAGCTGGGGCCAGGAGGTCTCTGCTGCCAGAGCAGGGGGACATTGTTGTCACCCCAGCAGCAGGCAGGCCCTTAGGTGCAGGGTGCAGTGTTCCAGCCCCAGGCAGGAGACAGCTATCTCCTGGTCCAGTGCTCCCTGCCAGTCCTTGGGCTAGCACCCAGGAGAAACCTAGAGATCTCCCTGGTGGCAGCAGGGGCCCATTTCAGGGCCCCAGGAAGCAGGAGCAGTTTGCTGTCATTAGTAGCAAATCTGCTCCCGCTTCCTTGCATGTGTGGACGCCTGCCCAGGAGTGTTTATTCATGAGTAGTTTTCTGACAAGTAAACTGCTCCCAGATCATATGCATGTGTAGACACACCCACTGTGACATATTTTCCCCCAGTACTCCTTATTTTCATGGTCCAAATGTGGCTAGGGGGGGGAGTTGGGATGGGCTCTTGAGTAAGGACACCTACTTAGGCCCTGAGGAATTTCAAATAAGTTAATGCAACTCCTGGTTGTGTTAACTCTTACATGTACCAGCTGTCCCAGTGAAGCTGGAGGATGCTGGCAAGTGTGATTCCAATTTGCCATGGAAGTACAAGGCTTCTGCATAGATAGACCTTGCCGCCCCCAGATCCAGAAGGTTCTGCCAGGGTTGAATGTAGCATTTAGTATTTTCTAAGAGCCCTTTTAATATTCCATACTACTTTTATTGTATAATGTGTTAGAACAGATTTTGTTATCCTCACAAGAACTCTATTCTACATTCATTGTGCTGGTGCATTTTCTATTGTTTCTTTTGTTGGCATCAAGTTTGAAGAGATTCATTAAGATATTACCCATGGAAAACTAATGGATTGTTGGAATGGTATAGGGTTGTTTCATAGTTTCATAGTTTCAGGGTCGGAAGGGACCTAATAGATCTTCTAGCCCGACCCCCCGCCAGGGCGGGAGAACAACCCAAAAAAAACAAAACAAAACCACTCACCCTAAAAACAAAAACGGGACTCAAATGAGTCCAGCCAGGTAAGTATCCAGCCTCTTCTTAAAGATCCCCAGGGTAGGGGCCAGCACCACCTCCCTTGGAAGTTGGTTCCAGCTCCTAGCCGCCCTAACTGTGAAGTAGTTTTTTCGGATGTCCAATCTGTACCTCCTCTCCATCAACTTGTGCCCATTATTCCTTGTTATGCCAGCAGGGGCTAGGGGAAACAGCGTCTCCCCCAAACCCTTCTGGTTCCCCCTAGTGAGTTTATAGACGGTCACCAGGTCCCCCCTCAGCCTTCTCTTGTGGAGGCTGAATAGGTTCAAGTCCCGCAGTCTCTCACTGTAGGGTCTGCCCTGTTGTCCCCGGATCATGCGGGTGGCCCTCCTCTGGACCCTCTCCATGTTGTCCACATCCCTCCTGAAATGGGGCGCACAGAACTGGACACAATACTCCAGCTGCGGCCTGACCAGCGTCGCATAGAGGGGGAGGATCACCTCCCTGGCTCTACTCGAGATGCACCTGTGGATGCACGACAAGGTCCGGTTAGCCCTGCCAACCATGACCTCGCATTGTCGGCCCATGTTCATCTTGGAGTCAATAATGACACCAAGATCCCTTTCCGCCTCCGTGCTCTCAAGTAGGGAGCTCCCCATCGTATAAGTGTGCTGCTGGTTCCTACTACCCAAGTGCAGCACCCTGCACTTGTCCGTATTGAAACGCATCCTGTTCCTGTCTGCCCACCCCTGTAACCTATCCAGATCCTTCTGCAATCTCTCTCTCCCTGCTAGCGTGCTCACCTCCCCCCAAATTTTGGTGTCATCAGCGAATTTAAACAGGTTGCTCTCCACCCCAACATCAAGATCGCTGATGAAGACATTGAACAGCGCAGGGCCCAGGACCGAGCCCTGAGGGACTCCACTACCCACCTCCCCCCAAGTCGAATATGATCCATCCACCACCACCCTCTGAGTGCGACCCTTCAGCCAATCTGCAATCCATCTGACCGTGTAGGCATCTATGCCACAGTCGCCTAGTTTACTAATTAGGATGGGGTGAGAGACGGTGTCAAAGGCCTTGCTGAAGTCCAGAAAGACTACATCCACCGCGACACCTGCATCCATGGCCTTTGTGACCTGATCATAAAAGGCAATCAGGTTGGTCTGACATGATCTCCCCCTAATAAATCCATGCTGATTGCCCCTGAGCATCATCTCGGATGCCGGCCCATCACAAATGTGCTCCTTGATGATCTTCTCAAAGAGCTTCCCCAGGATTGAGGTAAGACTGACGGGCCTATAATTGCCCGGGTCCTCCCTTTTCCCTTTTTTGAAGATGGGGACCACATTAGCTACCTTCCAATCGTCTGGCACCTGGCCCAAGCACCACGATCGCTCGTAGAGCCGTGCCAGGGGCCCTGCAATAACCCCAGCCAGCTCCCTCAGCACCCTGGGGTGGAGAGCATCCGGACCCGCTGACTTGAACGCGTCCAGCCCCTCCAGAAGCTCTCTAACCCGGTCCTCCCCAACCTGAGGTCTGAAGGCGATCCCCTCGCGTCCGGCTTCTATCACAGCAGGGAAGTCCCGGTCCCTGCACAAGAAAACGGAGGTGAAGAATTGGTTAAAGAGGTCCGCTTTATCCTCTGACGCA